TGATTGAGGTGATAGTTACATAACTCTGAGACTTACCATTGAGCTGTGCATTCTAAATTGGTGAATTGTACATATGTGAATTACATATAGTCTTTTCTTAAAAAAAAAAGATGTCTTTAATGCCCTGAAAGGGATTCCCTGAGTCTATCCTGTGGTAGCCTTGCTACTGGTTCACTCTCCTCTCTTCCCTCTTCCCTCTTTTATTCAGGGATCTTCAGAGCTAATGCCTCCCAGTGTTTGCTCACAGGTGATCTAAAATCACAAACCCACCCCTGGCCAGCACTCCTTGGTCTACTCTACTTTTTCTTTTTTACCATAGTCCACACCACACTTTTTAACATGCTTTGCAATTCACTCACTTATATTCATTGTTTATCATCACACCATTACCCCCCTCTGCCCACCACAAGAATGCACAAAAAAACATTGTTTTGCTTCCTGATGTATCACAAAGGCTTAGAATAAATGCTTGGCATATATTAGGTGCCAAATTATATAAATATCTGTTTCTAAAATTAACTCCTTATCTCATTACATGAGGGAGAATCTTGATGTGGCAAGATACTAGTTCTTCTATCTTGAATTAAAAGTTATTTTTCACTTTGACTTAGTAATTCCCTTCTACTGAATTTATCAAAAGAAAATAATTGAAAAGAAGAAAAATTGCTTTGGCTTAGTTCATGACTCCTTTGTGCCAGGTACCATTTCAAAACTGGTAATAACTCAAGTAACCAACATCAGAGGAATACTTAAGTAAATTGCAGTGTATCGTTATAGTACAATATCACATAACCTGTAAAATCATAATTATTACTTTTATCCAGTGTGGGAAATGTTTATGTTACAATACTGAATATGAAGATGTATATAAACCTGCACCAACACCACTGATTTAATCAATTTAGTCAATCTTTATTGACCACTTATTCTGTGCCAAACCCTGATTCAGGTGGTGGATATATGCAGGAACTAGAATAATCAAGATCTGACTTCATAGAACTTGCATGCTACTTGGGAAAGGCAGGAAAAGATATAAACAAGTAAGATGATTTCATAGAGTGATACTTGCAGTGAGAAAAGCAACAGGGTGAAGGATTGACTGGTTTGTGTGAGTGAGAGGTGGGATGGAATCTCCACTTTGCCTAAGGACTGATTCATAGTGAAGAACGGCAGAGACAGCAACAGGGGCCATGGTGTTGCTTGGAGTTTATACCATTAGAAAGGTAAAACTAAGGAATGGTGTTTACCAGAGCAGGATATTTATAATATTTATGTTTGAAACCAACAAGGGCAGGAACCAAGCTCTGGAGACTGTAGGAGATGACAAAGGCAATTGTTGGAGTCTTGAACTAGAATTCTGGTGCAGTGGGAATGGAATGGAGAGCACAGATCCAGAGAAATTTATAAGTAGTAATAGACCCTATTTTTCATTATGAGACATGAGATTGAGAAAGAGGAATGTAGAGTAACTCCCAGTTTTCTGATTTAGTAGCATTGTGTGCAGAACAGAGAAAAGGCATGATCAGGTGTCAGTGTGTGTATATGTGGCAAGGGAGGGAGGGTTGTGGTGATTTTTTTCATTAATAAAAACATTTTTAATACAATTTTTGGGAATGATGGGGATTAATTTCAGGGTCTTGTGCCTGCTACACACATACTGTACCACTCAGGGCTATCCCCAGCCTCCATACTATAACTTTTGAAATTAAGTTAAAATCAAGGACAGGAGAAATACATTTATATTAGTCATTCTGTTTTTATCAAATGATATAGAAAGAGTCTAAATAATTATTAATGTGGTATTGGCTTTTAAAAAACCAGAAAAGTTAAAACCATAGAAATTCTAAATCATTTTAATAATATGTATTTTTTTGTGATGTAAGTAAAACATTCAGTTTTTACGTTTTAAATTTATTTTTAATTTTTGTGACTGTTACTCTAGGTTGACTAGAGCGGTTAATTCCTGTATTCTAAGGAATTCATTTTCTTCCCCTCTAGATTTGGTGTTGTCTGGAAATTTATGGTACATACTCTCAATTCTAGTATCAAATCTGGTAAAAATTCCATAACATTTGTTCTGGGTTTCTGCACTTATTACTGCATTTTGTATGAATGTTTCCATCAGAGTATGCAGGGTTTTGACAGTGGTACTTCCAAACCATGTACTTCAAATATTGGCTGAAATATTTTAAGGAATAAAATTAAAATCATTACTGATTACCAGATATTAAACCAAACATTCTTCTCTAGGTCTACAAGGCTTTTTCTTAGAGGAAAAAACATTAAGAAAGGCATTCTTTTATTTGTTACTTTTCAGTATTTATAAAGAGCATGCAGTATCTCTGCCCTTGGAGGCAGCATGGAATAGCGGGAAGAGCACTAGGTTGTGAGTCCTGAAACCTGGATGCTGACTTTGGCTCAGTCATGAACTGACTGCTTAATTCTACAGATTTGTGTTTCCCAAGACCTTGGTTGCCTTGTTTATAAAATTAGTAGTTATACCAGCTCTGACCTTTTATTATCCCACTACTTGAGTTCCTCTTTGACATTGTAAAAATTATTTTAAAATCATGTCATCTTTTTGCAATTTGATTATTTAGTTTGCTGTTTGACTCTGAAGTATCTCAGATTGTATTTTCAACATCAACACACATCACACACACACACACACACACACAAAAGCTTGAACATGTGTGCATATTTTGAAGATGTGCACTGCTTATCTTAAGAGCAGAGTTTGGCCCTACTCTGTAAATGTGTTCAGAAAACAATATAACACAGATACTGAAGGCAGCTTGTTTTTAACTTGTAGCTAAACATGACATTCAAATGTTAATTGGATGAATAAATCTCGTTCATTTTACAGACATGGAAATGTCAATGGAATAAAACTATTTATCACAAGATAATGGTCTCCTGCCGCCAGATAAATGCCAAGATGAAGATACTTATTGAAAATGTATCAAAATATTCTATTGCTATTTATTGAAAATAAAGGTTGAGGAAAAGTTCAACTTTTCAGGTCAAACATGAGAAATGCCCTACTTATGCTATTAGTATATTACTATATCAAAGACAATGTGCATAGTGTAGAAACTTCGGAACATTCTAAGAAATAACAGTCCAGAAATTAATCTTTTCGCTTTGAGAATTGCTGGCACAGTGGAGTTGGGGCTAGAAGGAGTTACCTAATATTTTTGAATTCTCATTGTACATCCAACATAGTCCTGGGTATAGTCACTAATGTAAGCCTCATGAGAACAAAATTTGAAAAGAATTATTATCTTCATTTTACAGGTAAAGTTAAAAACAAAATAACTTACAGTCTCACAGAGAGTAATTACAAACATGAATGTTTAAACAGCCTGAACTCCAAATGTAGCAAATTTCTCCAACACCCTTCCTTTTTACTTATACTTTGTAAATCTGAATACCATGATGCTTTTTAGTTTTTTGAAGATTTAGGGTAGATTATTTCACTGAGTTTTGTTGCACTTGATGACCAAGCACTTCTAATAATTCAGTATATAAGGTATCCTCTTTAAGTAATAATGCACACTTCCATAAGCCTTGAGGACTTGATAGCTCTGAAGGGCCAAGAAGTACTAAGTTCTAGCATTTAGATTCCTTCTTTCCAGGAGTATGTGTTTTGAAAGTCCCTACATAACTCCCTCTTTCTGCCTTTTTGAACTTAAGTATGTATTTTAGTCAGCATTTTCACTGCTGTGACTAAGAGACCTGACAAGAATAATTTTAGAGGAGGAAAAGTTCATTTGGGGGTTCATGGTTTCAGAGGTCTCCGTCCATAGGCAGCTGTTCCATTCCTTGGGGCTCAAGGTGAGGCTGAACATCATGGCAGAAGAGTGTGGCTGAGGGAAGCAGCTCACATGATGATCAGGCAGCAGAGATAGACACCCCACTCACCAGATACAAAATACATACCCAAGACATTCTCCCATTAACCCAATCACCAGCCACACCCTACCTGTCTTCAGTTTCCACTCAGTTAATCCCTATCAGGGTATTAATTCGCTGATTGGATTAAGGCTCTCAACCTCCTCTAGACCTTCTTGCATTGTCTCACACATGAGCTTTTGGGAAACACCAAATATCTAAACCATAACAGTATCTATTCCTCCTCTTTACTCATCTTTCATATAATATAAGTGCCATAGTGATCTTCACAAAATATATTATTTGGGTTGTTACTGAATATGGATGGTTAAGTAAAACTGCCTAAAGAATTAAAAGGAGGATTATTGTTCACTGATGCTTTTTACCAATCTCTTCATGCCAACCCCTTCTCATGTCACTCCATCCTCAACAGTCCCTATCTCCACCTAGTGCAGCCACTGGGTGCTAATGTCTCCCTCTCTGGACTCTCAGAGAACTGAATTTTTCCTCTGGCAGCTATCTCTCTCTCCCTAGTATTTTAAATTATTCATGGTTTGTTATAGTTTCCCTGGTAGATGGTAGGCTCCTTACTAGGAGAAATTATATGTTTTCTTTCTCCCTGTTCTCCATGATATCCAGCTGAGTGACATGGACATTGCACATAATCAACAGGAGAGTGAAATTTAAAGAGACATGAGTACTGTGTCTTTGTTTTAAGGAACAGAGGAAGTATCAAGGTTTGACATATTTCTTAGTGAGCCCTTGTGAATATGGGAGCCTGTATACCTAGTCCATTGCCTATGCTTCCTATCTATCATTTCTCTCTAAAACACATTTGGCTTTTGTTTATTTCATAAAATTCCTGGAGGCAAGAGTGGGCAGAAAATTTAACTGCTAGGCTGATACAAAGGAGAAAAGTTTGAATGTTAAAATGTTTCTCAGGAAGAAAATAATAATTCATACAGGATGTTTTTGATATGCAAGTAAGGTATAACCTAGTAAATATATTTTTTAAAAGTGTTGGTACACTTCTAGTACTTTTAGATCAGCACCAAGCACCACTGTGTCACATGAATCACTAACAGTCTTGCCATTCACCTTCACAGATGGGAGACCGTTAGCCCTGAAGGACATATGGGAAGGAGTCCACGAGTGCTATCAGATGAGGCTGCTACAGGGACCATGGGACACTATTACTCAACAGGTTAGAGAATATTTTCATTTTATTGTATGTAATTATTTCCCTATGCTCATCTTTTCATCTAGTTCTCTTACCTACTCCTTTCCCTATTTTACTCTTCCATATCCAGATTTCAGTTCAAAGACAGTTTCCTTAAAAACACCTTCTCAGACTCAGACTTGGTTTAGACTCCCTATTATAAGATTTTATAACACCCTATAATTTTCCTTCATGCTCTTATCACAGTTTTGAATTACATATTTGGAAGATTTTTTAAAAAGTATTCAATATCTACCTTTTCCATTACTTTGTGAGCTCATTTATGTTCAGGCTATGTTTGTTTTTCTATTTTACTTTTCATTGTACATCTAACATCAGCAAAATACTTATCATATAGTAGGTGCTCAACAAAAATGTATCCCATAAATGAAAATAGAAAGTAAGTTGGCACATACACTGAGAAGTGGGTGCTTTAAATTGTGTTGTCTGTGTTTCACAGTTTTACTCATAGGTGCATTTGCAAAATAGTGAACTTTTGATTAATAATAGGTTGGCAATAGTGATTTTCAAAAGTAGAAAAATAGATCTGCAAAAAGAGATATATAAATATATTTGCAAAAGTAGACAAAATAGATCTGTCAATCATTTAAGTCATTATTACTGCCTTGCTAAAATCAGCAGTAATTATTTTAGAAATTTAAAAATACTCATCACCTTGCAACCAATCATGGTCTTCTTAAAAATTATTTTTACTTAAATCAAACATCTATTTTTTTCTAAGTCTCTGTTAAGCTTAATGAAAGCTTCCTTTAAAAGTGATTTTATGAGCCATTAGAATTTCATGCCCTCTTATGTATTTGATCATAATAATGGCAGTTTACCTCCCAATCAATGTTAAGAATTCTTAGCATCTCATAAGCAGTTCTTTAGCAATGACTGCAAGTGGCCATTCTCTAGGTTTTAATTGAGGACAAAACTAGCTTTAAGTATGTTTCACACTGCCCCTTAGGTTAAATTTTTTCCTTTCCCTCCCACTATCACCCTCTGACCTCACCTGGAATGATTAGTAAAGCCTCCGGCCTCTGGTTTTCTGTGCCTTTCCTCTTTAGTTCTTACCATTTGTCACGTCTTAACTACTCTTGCTCTTGTCTCACTCATGCTCAAGCCTGCAGCAGCTCCCCAGGGTTCTATGGGATGTAGTGTAAATGCCTTGCCTGGGCTTTAGTGACTGTCACTCGCAGGTTCTCACCTGCCCTGTACGTTTTTCTTCTGTTTGTCCACTCTACACAGCTTCTGCCAAACATGGCTATTCATTTCTCTGTACCCATTTTGCAGTTTGTTCTTGGAATTCTTTCAGGTTTAATGCTTTCCCTCTATGCTCTATTTCCTACCATTCTCTCATAAGTTCTTTTCTCTCTGAAACTGCTGAAGCTCACAAAAATGACTCCCTCTGAAATCCAAGTTCTGTAGACCAGGCATATGTGGTTGCTATGAAGAATGATAATGTGATATATAAGCAAAGCAGCCCTAAAGATTTTTGGCAAGGACATCTTACTTTATGCAAACTACTTTACATCAACCTTGAAGTAAGTATGTCAAGGTGAATGCTTAGAGTTTCAACTTCCTGTTTTGTCAGTGACTACACACTATCCAAAAATCTATACTGTAGAGTCAGAATCCATAGGACCCAGGAAATATTTAGTTGTTAAGAGTAAAGAAAGATGACAAAAATATAGAGGAAGAGAGTATCCAATATACACATGTAAATTAACTTTAGCCTTTTTCTCAGCTCCTTCCCAGTCAGTGTGCTCCCCAGCCCAATTCCTTTCCTTTTTCCTCTCACTAGTAGCCCTATTATTAATCTCCTCAATGCCAGTCTACAGTGCAATTCCTGGTGGTCTATGTAGTTTTGCGTTTTAATTCCACATGCCTCTGTTCAAAATCAAAGATTTTGAATTCAACTCTATTTCCTTAGTTTCCTCATCTGATATTGCTAGTAGAATTCTCTACATTGATAGAATCCCTGAGATGTTAAACTAACCAAATAAAATAATAGAATTGACTAATGTATTTTAGTTTATAAACATTTGAGTGGATTTTTTTTCCTTTTTTTGGTACTAAGGATTGAACACAGGGATACTGAACCACTGAGCCACATCCCCAGCCCTTTTTAATATTTTATTTAGAGACAGGGTCTTTGCTGAGTTGCTAAGTACCTGGTTAAGTTGCTGAGGCTGGCTTTGAACTCGCAATCCTCCTGATCCAGCCTCCGGAGCTACTTGGATTATAGGCTACTGCACCTGGCTGGATAATTTTTTTTCCTATTTATAGTACTAGTAAAAAAGAAATACCTTCATTTTTGTTTGAAGAGATGTATGTAAGTTAGCATTACTATTTCTTTTTCCTCACATTTTAATTAGTGCATTACAGTTGAACATGATGGTGAAATTTGTTGTTAGGTATTCATATATGCACATAAGATAACAATACAATTTGGCCAATATAATTCCCCAGACATTACTATTTCTATCAAGGCTGGAGCTCACTTAATAGGATGATTATTCAATATAACAAAGTGACAACTCTAAAATTTAGATGATCATTTATAATTTGTCTTATTGGAGTTTGATCTGTGGATATGTATGCCACTTGTAATTAAAAAAAAAAAACAACAACTTTATTTAAGCTCTAGAGTTGCTCAACATAATACATGTCCATGCTTTAAAGACCAATCAAGGGAAACTCATTGGTAGCTATTGCACTATTTGGCATTTGAAAGTTGTCATATATATTTCCTTTGAAGGTCTTGGTTTTTAATCTCAGTTGGTTATTGGGATGGTATTATGTCTTTTTATTTGCCTGAGTTCTTTGGAATAGTGGGACTTCATTTGTGTAAGACCTCATGTGGAGAAAAACAAGGTGTCCTCAGTGGGACTGAAATGGAGGGTATAATGCAGCCATAGGGGGAAATAAGCTGATAGAATATTGGTGGCATCGAATAGTAGCCATCGTTTTGCAGAAATATGCTAAAGAATCATTAACTTGCAGACTGAACATGATAACGATATCCTGTCCTCTAGAGTGGCTTAAAAACAAAAGCAGCCTTTGCATAATACAAAATGCATTTTACTTCATTTTCAGGTCTGACTGTGCTCATATGGTTTGTTGCTCTTCATCTTTAGTAATCACACTTCTGTTTTCTCAGCATTGGTCTTGATGATATAGGCCTGCTCATGTCAGACGTGAACCCTCTCTTTTGAAGACAAGCCACTCATGAATCTCATACATTTGATTATGATGATTACTCACCTGCCTTTGTCCAACCTTACGGACTACCTATTATCTCAGCCCTGTAGTCCAATAAAGAACTTTCACAAGAAAGCTAACAGATGCCTAGATTGGATTTTTCTTTAGAGAGTGACTGTTACAGTAACCATTACTGAAAATAAGTAATTTCTTCTTCTTTTTAAAAACTTTATTTTGGAAAAACTCAAACATACAAAAGTAGAGATAAGAAGATAAGAAGCTCATGATGGTCTTATTTATTTATTGACTTTGCTGCTGGGGGTTGAGTCCAGATCCTCAAACATGCTGAGCCCACTCTACCACTGAACTACATTCATGTCTTACCAAGTCTGGAATTTTTGTTTAAAAGAAAATTCTAGACATCAAATTTTAGTTCATTCATAAATATTTAAGTAAGATAAGGGCTTTACACGAATGCTTATAACAGTTCAATTTACAATAGCCCCAAATGGAAACAACCCAGGTGTCTTTCAGTGAATGGATGTTTAAACAGACTGTAGCACACCCTTGTCATGGAATTCTACTAAGCACTTGAAAGGAACTATCTATTGATACACTTAACAACCTGGATGAATCTCCAGAAAATGATGCTGAGTGCAAAAAAAGTAATCCTAAAAGGTTGCATAGTGTATCATTCCTTTTCTATATTTTCAAAATGATAAAATCATAGACTAGAGAACAGATTAGGGGTTGCCAGGTGCTAGAGAGGGGATGTGATTGTAGCTTTAAAAGATAAAATGTGGAACCTATGGTGATGGAAATATTCTGTATATTCATGGAATCAATGTTAGTATCTTGATTGTTGTAAGATACTATAGTTATACAATTTGTTATTATTGAGGGAAACTGGGTAAAAGTTATAAGGGATCTCTTTGTATAATTTTTTTTCAATTGAATATGAATCTTCAGTTATCTCAGAAAAGTTTAATTTATAAAATGGTAAGAAGTCTTAAAAATGCAAGTGCAATTCTATCATCACAATTAAAATTAAAATTGCAGATAATTTCTTAATATCATTAACTAAGTAATTACTGTTTAAATTTCCCTAGTGTATATATTTTTTACAGTTTGTTTGAATAAAGATCCAAACAAGGTCTACACATTTAAATGGTTAATATCTCTTGTGACTTTTCAAATCTATATAAATTCTTATTTCTCCCTCTCTTTCTTCCTGATAATTCTTTGTTGAAGTGTGCTTGTCCTGTTGTGTTTTGCAGACTAGATTTTGTTTTCCAATTATGTCTGTGTGATGCTTAGTATGTTCCTCCTTACATGTACTAGAAACTGGTAGTCAAATCTTAAAACTGAATAAAACTTAGGTGTTTTTTTAAAGTTTCTTACATATATGACAATAGTGGAGTGCATTACATTTTTGTTCTTTGTTGTTGTCATGAGAAGAATCCTTCATAGGTGTTTCTGGCTACTCCCAAAAGGAAGCACATAATCTTTAGTTATTACTGTTTATTTTGGCCATATTAGCAGTCACTGATGATTATTGTCTATATTTATTAATTCATTCAAAGGTTATTCATTGTAAACCAATGATGTTTTAATGTTCTCATTCATTATTTATTAGTTGGACCACTTCTGTAATGGCAAAATTTCTCCCATCAGCTTTGTTATCTGAGGTATGTTTTGTATAAGAAAGAAAATATGAATGCTTGATTCTTTCCCTTTATGCTCTAGCTTTCCAGATAATGAATTGGTTCTCTAGCCAC